AAGCTGACATCGAGTATTAAAGTATCAAGTAAATTTGTTGTAAAATCCCAGGTCATCCGATTTCTCAGGTTGACCGGACAATAATAGTTGCCTTACATCAAAAGGGGTTTGTTAAATAACCAGATTGCGGGTCATCTGAATATTCCACGGGCTTCGGTAAGGTGCATAGTGGCCATTTTTCATGAAAGGGGCAGTGTTGTGTGAAGGTCTGGACTGGTCGACCCAGAGTGACATCGGAGAGAGAAGACCAGTCAGTATATGGCAAATTTTACTCGAAGGAATCGAAATATGACGGTAACAGCCATTCGAAGTCATTTTTTGCGAACATAGCGGAGGGTAGTTTCGAGAAGTACCAAAAGAAGGAGACTGAATTTCTCAAATCTAAGTACAAGAATACCTTTAAAAGTGCCTAGGCTTTTTTAACTTCAACAGAGCTGAAAGTCGCCAATGGGCTCAAGAACATAGGAACTGACTTTTACCACAATGGCGCAACGTCCTTTTTTCGGACGAGTCACGATTTGGCCTACAGAGTGATAGTCAGCGGGAAAAGGCCTGGCAGACAGGCACGACTTAGTTTTGCAAGAGGCAGATCAGTGGTGTTTTAGGGGGTATAATGTTTGGTTAAATATGTATGAGATTGTCTTGGCAGGGCAATATCCAATCGAGAAAACCTTCCTTTAACCTTTAGGGACTTAATTGTAGCTGTTCAAGAAGAGTGGGACAATATGCCTGATCATTTTATTGAGAACCTGATCCGCGGGATGCCGTGACACGTTGGCCAATTGATTAAAAGTAGGGGCCATAATACAGACTATTAAGTTATGTTTTTGTAACTATATAACATTTTTTCTCAAAAAATAACATTTTCATACTTACAATTTTTGGACATTTTTTGTAATTTCCTTTATTCTGCATTATTCGGAAAGCCAATTACAAAGATTGTGTATTACATAGTTTGGTTTTAAAACAAAGAATAAGATTCACCATATTTTCCAAATTTTAATTAATTATTTTTAAAAATTCCCGAGGGGGCCAAGACTTTTGGAGATGTATGTAGTTTAAAACCGCCTCCTAATAAAATATTTTTTAAGTTCTTTCATGATAATTAAGTCAGAGAATAATTATTACGTGAATGTTACATTTTTTTTTAAATATAAATAATGATTAGGTACACAAAAAAATGGTAGCGAACTAAATTCGGAAATACTTACCCGTTAAAACATAGATTCGGGTGTTGGAAATTGCAACTTTACAAAGTAATCTTAGTGTGTAATAAACTGCAAGACTAACGATCATAAAAGTCGAAGCAAATGTCAACTTTGTAGCTTTTAGAAGGTAAAGCGTGTATATATCCTAGTTACCTTTATAGCTCCAATATTGTTCGTCTCTATTGATATTGTAATTTTGGTGGTGTAATGAGACAAAGAAAAAACCAGGGTCAAAGAAAATCGATACAACGAAATTCGATTCTTTATTAATGGACCGAAGAATTACGGAATTTTAGGTCAGCAGTAAAGATGTATTGCGTCTCTAAAGGGGAGAGACTCTCCCTTGGGAGCGTTTCTCAAGGGATGTTGACTGTTTTTTAGGAAATGAGGTTAAAGCAACTGGTGTAGTGTTGCGGTTTCGGAATTCGTAGCCATTCTTTAAAGCAAAACACTGATTTAATAGAGACCCGAATTTTTATCTATAAAAGGTTGGATAGTTTGGTGAAAGGAGAAAAACATTTTCGAGGGTTAGAATTATTTTAAATTGTGATTCCAGCTGAATATAAAGAACTACACAATATTTCATTTTTTTTATTGTTTAATAATAGTAAGTGACTGAAACTGTATATTTATTTGTTCTAATTCCTCATACAAACAAGGTTTTTGTTTTACGTTTTGTTTTTACAATAAAAAATGTGTGATTTATGTCACATAGAGACGAAAAAATATCATTAGTACAATTTTAATCTAGTGATAGTGGAAGGTGATTTTTTGGATATCTTGTAATAAAATATATAAGGGATATCTACAGGTAGATTAGGATGTATCCAATGGGCCATATCAACAGGGCCGCCGAGAGCCATTTGGGGCCCCGGAACAATTTTCCAGATGGAGCCCCGTGACAATTTTATAAAAAAAACCCTCGTCTTGTATTTTACATACACCAGCGCTCCTCCTTTTTGTGCCAAACTTCCTTACCTAAAGCTCCCACTTATGCCCGGGCCCCCACTTGTGCCCGAGCCCTCACTTGTGCCCGGGCCCCGGGAATTTAATAATAATAATATTAATACATTTTTATTGACCTCATATTAACCATTTACAAATAACTTTACAAAGTAAATAAAACATACAAACGGTCAAAAGGACTTATGATCAGTCAAAAACTGTTCTTCATCAAAAGCCTACATGAAAGTAAAAAAAAAATATTAAAATACATATAACTATAAAACACGGATGAACAACAAAAAAATATATATAATAGTATGTATATACAAACACAACAAAACACTTTTTTGACAGGTTTTTTTTAACATTTTTTTCAACATTTTTTGCATTGTATAAATTTTTTTAATAGTTTTTGTATCACGTTTTCTTAATAATGGTTTACAATTTTTTACATTTATGGGTTTAATTTAACAGTTGGAAGGATTTGAAAAAATAACGCACTGTTCTTCAAATAATAGCTTAGTTATATGCTTTTTATAACGTGGCAAGGACATTTTTTTAAATTCATTTGGAATTTCATTATAATGTTAAGAGAAAGTATTTTGAAATTGAAATGTTTTATGTTTAGGGATATCTATGAGATCCTTTCTACGTATATTCATACAAGTGTTGTGAATGTCGGACCTAAATCTAATTTTGTCAAAGAGGTATGTCGGAGAATGTGTAGATAATATTTTATGAAAAAAACACAAAGCATGCGCTTTTCTACGATTTTCCATGTTTAGACATTTAGCTAATTTTAAGGTGTGGGAAATTCTATCAAATTTACGGATGCCGTAAGTTAGCCTTAAACATAAGTTTTGCAATTTTTGGAGCCTCCTTCTTTGTACACAGTCAAGGCAGGGGCCGTAAACATAAACATTTGTCCCGACTACCTCCCCTCTCGTCGGCCCTGCATATCAATAAAAACGTGCATTTGCTTATACTTGCAAAATTCAAAGAAAATGCTTCAAGGGGTTTGAACAAAATTGTAAGAAATCCTTTTCCTTAAAAGGAGGAGAAGCAAATACTGACGAAATAAAAGGATATACTTCAAACGTGTGACTAAAGTCAACAACTGCGAGCATTTACTTGCAGAAAAGTGATGCTGCTGTTCAGTGGAATTAGAGCTGATCTCATTAGAAGTTTCGCGAATTTAACGTGGAACGGCCTTCCTCTGTCTTTACACGGTTGTGCGGTTGCTAGTAAAAATAGCTGAAATGTTAAATATCCGAAATATAAAACACTACAAAAACGGGGTACACCGCGAACTAGTGATTTTAAGGGCATGTTCCAAATTGAACAGGAAAATGTGGAGTGGTTTACTCAAAACTTTCTAGGCGGGAGCGTAGTACGTCGTGGTGATGCATTATCATCTGTCCAGAGAATGAAAATCTGTTTAAGATATTTGGCAAATCCAGGTTTCCAAAGCGAAATTTGCGAAGAGCTAGGCATTGAGCAGTCCACTGTTTCTCGCTCATTTCGAATGGTGGTAACAAAAATAATTCAACAGGCCAGTCGTTGGATTCAGTCACCCTGCCCTAATGGAAGCTGAAGAACTGTTAGCAAGTCAGTTTAGATTTCTGACTGCTATTGGAGAACTTGTAGCGTGTTTATATTGCTTGTTATTTAGTTTTTAAGAAAGTTGGTTATATTGTCGTGTATTGCGTTTTGATTATTTAGTGTAGATTTGTATTGGACAATAAGAACCAACACATAATTATTACTAGATTGTACGTTATATTGCTCGTTAATGGTATTTAGTTTTAAAGAAAGTGGGTTATTTTATTGTGTATTTTGTTTTGGTTATTTTGTTAAAATTTAGTATGGAAAAAGTAACAAAACACAATTATTACAATGTTGTAAGTTCACTAACAACATCTATTTTTATAAAGTCAACCTTCTTTCCTTAGCTATAAACTTACAGGTTTGTTTTTTTTTTACAATTGGTGACGTAATGAATTTTTGTAACCGGTTATATAATGTTCAACTTTATGGAACTGATTGCGTAAAGTAGATCATTTTGACACTTGCTGCGATTACAAAAATGTCACTTTATATGTCAAAATTAGAAAATAGCTATTTATTTACCCAGTTACGAAATGCCACATTTTATGTTACTAGTGAATATTTGCGGGACGAGCAGAGCGGGGTCCCGCAACATCATCGAGTTACATAAAACGGCATGTTGTAACATGTTACATACAATATTTTTTTTAATTTTGAATAGATTATTTATAAATTTATGTTTTGGTAAAATATTCCTGACATCTAGGCAACCAATATTGTATTGTATTGTATTGTTTGTTACCTATAAATAATTTTATGACAAATGAAACATCACATTAATTATTTGATCTCAACTTGGAGTGTTTATTAGTGTTATTTAGTTTTCAAAAAATTGATTATTTTGTCGTGTATTGTGTTTTAATTATTTTATGCTGATTTAGAATGGAAAATAAGAACCAAAACAATATTGTTAATAGGTTCTAAGTTTAACTAAGTTCTATTTTTATAAGTCCACTCCATTTTCTTTGATATAAACTATCAGTAATAATGTATATTATTGATTTTAAAAGAAAAAAGGTAGATCATTTTGACACTTGCTTCGATTACAAAAAAGTCACTTTATATGTCAAAATTAGAAAAATTATTATTGAATGTATACTTATTTTTAACCTATATCAAAGAAATAAAACAAAATTTGTTTTTTTATCGTAGTTTTGTAATATTATTCTTGAATACTTTTTTCGCTCAAAAAATTTTAATTCATTTTTTCATTATGTAATAATTAAATTTTAATTGCAGGTAAAACATGGATTCCGATCCAACCGAGGAAAATACTCAATCGGCTAGCAATATAGTATTTGAGGCCTCCACACAAACCCCTACCAATGAACCCTGTGATTCTCCTATGTTTACTCAGAAGGGATATTGCCTTAAAACTAATGGGCATAGCGTTCAAGCCCTAACGAATATACAGAGGATGAGGCAACATGGACAAGTAAGAGATAAAATTTGCTTAGGTAGTTGTTTATTACTTTAGATTAGTTTTATATAGATAGTATTTTTATTCATTTTTATGAGTACACATTTACTGCAAATCATTAAGATGTGCATGGTGGCGTGGTATTTTCCTGTTCAGTGGTTGCAATACATTACCTACGTGTATTATTTCAATCAAGCAGAATTGTTTACGATTTTTCCTATGGAACTTGAACTATTTCGATAATTCAGTGAAAAAATCCGATAAGCACTATTTTTTCTATTTTAATGGCACTGGTAGAGCCACGTTGTAGATTGGTTTTATCAACAATAATAACTTGATAACAATCATATTAGTATGTTAGTAAATACCTATTCAAATTTGTTTTGATATATTCCTTTATATAAACATTTTTTTGATTTTTTGTGTGTCTATACGTTTTTGTGTATTTACAGGGTGTTTCATTAAGAATGGGGCAGCACAACTGAAGATTCTCTGATTAAAAATAATCAATTAAAAAAAAGCTAATTTTCGAAAATTCAAAAGTTATTAATTGCCATAAATTTTTATTTCTCAGTATTATTATACTTAATTCGGTTAACATTGTTGGTGTCATAAGATACACCTATCAGCAAAACAGTCAGTAAAATAAACTTTACCAGTGGCATACAACACGAATAAGTAACACCACGCCACTGTCCAAAAAACTTATTTGGACTATACTTCTACATTTTTTAATGTTTTTTTATTAAATCATGTACTTATTGTTGGAAACTCATTAAGTGATTGGTTTTCGAGATATTCACACTCAAAGATTTATCGTTTTAATTTAGTTTTTAATTATGGATTTTTTTTATAAATTCCCAACAACAGTACATGATTTATTTAAAAAACATAAAAAGAAATAAAATTATATACCAAATAAGTTTTTGGAGAGTGGCGTAAAATTAAGAAGGAATGCAGGTGTTACTTACCCATGTCGTACGCCACTGGCAAAGTTTATTTAACTGATTTTTTGCTGATTGGTGCATCTTATGACACCAAAATCGTTTGCTCAGAGCAATTTTATATAAAAAAAAAATCAAAATTAAAAAATAAATTAAAATAAAGACTATCCATAATATCTCAAAAGCCAATCACTTTAGCAGTTTCCAACAAGGGTACAAATAAGTTTTTGGACAGTGGAGTAAAATTTAGAGGGGATGAAAGTGTTATCTGTGTTGTACGCCACTGGTAGTTTATTTAATTGATTGTTTTGATAATAGGTGTATCTTATGATACCGACAATGTTTACCGAATATAGTAAAATTATACTGAGAAATAAAAAAAATTATAGCCAATAATAATATTGGAATTTTCAACTTTAAAATCCTGTATTTCGGAAACCAGTAATTTTTTATCCAAGCATATTTCGTTTAATCGTCCTATTTTTAATCAGAGAAACGTCAGTTGTTCTGTGTCCCATTATTAATGAAACATCTTGTATTATATTTTCGTTAAAATAAGTCGTTAAAATAAGCAATTAAAAAAACTCAAAAATAAAAGAGATACAGATTAGAAAATATAAATCCGGGACTGGATTTACGTATAAAAATTTACGCTAATTAATAAGTGTTTATATTTTTATCTTTTTCTTATCGGTTTTTCTTATGAATCATGGTTAATTTTTGTACCGGTTATTGTAATTCAGTCAAGTGTAAATTCAGTTCACTTTATGATTTGGCCAGAATTGTTGAAATTAATGACATAATTATTTTTCGTTTAATAATGATTTCTTTAGTAATATCTAAAGGCCAAAGTTTTGATAATGTATTTTGTAAATGGTAAAGTTTCCTACATACTGTGACGGCCCAACCCCGGTACCCCTTATTTTTTGTTCGTTATTTTACTCTCTGAAATGTTATTATTTACCTCACAAATTTATTTTACTTTAAATTATTTACTGTATTTGGCCTTTTTCCTCAAGTAGTAGAAGTGATCGTCTAGTTAACTAATTGATAATTTATATACCCACGATGTGATAATGTTAATTAAGGTAAACCAGAATTCGATGCAAAGTTTGGTGCAAATTTATAAATAAATCATACCAATCCATATTTAAACTCTTTTTATTTTTCATACTTTAAATGTGATGCAATAATTAGCAAAGTATAATACAATTGTTACTATTTACTGAGATCTCACTTGAGTCCCGTTAAAACGCAGACCATATTCATTTGCTATTAATTTATATTCTTATTTAGGTTGATGACCAACGAAGTTAACGAACAGCGCCAATTCGCAGGTTGGTTAACTACTGTGTTGATGTTGATTTGATTCTGTTCTAGATATACACAGGTTGCACATTCTTAGGTAAACATTTCGATGAGTATAGAGGTGATGACCAACGGAAGTAACGAACAGCGCCAATTCGCCAGTTGGTTACTTTACTATGTTGATTTCACATATACTTTGTTTCAAACCTAGTAGAACGGGTTGCTTAGCGTATAGGTGTCCCCCCTTGAGGTAACGAACAGTGTATTCACCAGTTGGTTAACTTACTATTAAATTTTACCATCTTGGTTTGTACAATTTATTCAAGATAGCACATCCCTGTATATTTCTAAAATATTGATTTTTATAATTTTTATTGATTTAACTTAATACAACCCTGTATATTTTTTATATTGTTTATTTAAATTTTTTATTGAAATAACTTAATATCACCCTGTATATTTCTTAATATTGATTTTTATAATTTCTATTGTAATACTCAAAATTTTACCCTTCTAAAACAGATATTTATCCTGTCTTTCGGGCTAGATGACCTGAAGGCCATGTGGTTTATTGGTTATATTGCAGAAAATGTGAAGCTCTCCTTTAAAGGAAACCCCGGTGATACCTCAAAGAAAGTTACATAAATCTTTTGACTCATTATTGAAAATACAGACATTAGATTATGTACTAATTTCAGCTAGCGTTGTGACGGTGACGATTTAGGTACGTCGCAGCGTTGAGCGTCGTACGTGGTTATAGATATTATTTATTGGGTGTCGTAAATAAGATTTAATTGTCTGGGAGATTTTTAGTTAAATGAAGGATTTTGAATTTAATAAGAATGCAATATTATATTTATTAAATGGAATTAATAAATTTTTAAGGTACCTGGGTGAGGTATGTTACAATACAGACTATTAAAGAAATTTTACTGTTGTAGCTTTATTATTATTATTCAGTCTTTTTGGGATTTTCCTATTAACTTTTAGCATGTACTGTTTATAAAAATATTAATTTATCTACATTGTTCTGCTAAAAATGTTTATCTTCTAGAAGTACTTCTTTATGAACGAGTTTTTCGTCATTAATGTATTTAATTAGGCATCTTAATAAGACATTTCAAACAATCGTACTTATTATAATCATTGGTTTCCAACTTTGTTCGGGTTTACTTTTTTTGGGCCATTTAATTATTATAATTTATTGAAACTATTCAGTACCTAGGTATTACTTCTTCTTTCATACTAGTGAGGAATTAAATTAGAAATTTTTCATTTGATTTTGAAAATTTACCAAAAATCAGAGCTCTTTTCATAATAATACGTACTTAATACCGAAATATATTATTGACATCAACAACAAAAGTACAAGGGTTATTCACGTATAATATTCATCCGGAAGATCTTTCAACATAATAGTTCATTGAAATTATTTGCAGCAATTATTGTCAATGATTACCGTTAAAAATTTAACGAGTCTTTGACCTTTATGCACTGATAGCTTGGCCAAACAATATATAATAATGAAAAATTAGAGTAGAATTAATGAAACGTGCAGCGGAGGACGATATGATGTCATTTTCGCGAAAAAAATTTGTTAATACGTCGCATTAAGATAATTTTATTGTTACATCAGATATACAGTCGTTAACCGTACTTGTAGATCTTGCGTGTTTTATTTTTAGACTTTACTATCAGCTGCCAGCATACAGGGAGATCCCTTAGGCATATTTTTTTTACTATTACTGAGGCCCTTCCTATGGGGCCTCAATATTGCATTCATGAAGACGAAAAAATTTTCTAACCCCCAGTTTTAAAAAATTTTTTTCATGTTTCCGAAAATGCAAAAAAAATTTTCGTCTGGTCGTCTGTGTGTATGTATGCCGGCACGATAACTCTAGAACGAAAGTATTGATTTTCAGAATTTTCGGTTCATCCCAACTACTTTAATATCAATTTTCTTAAAATCCACCAAATCCACCTATGCATTTCTTATATGACTAATTTTAGGAATTCCAATTATTTCTAACCTCTAACAATCCTAACATTTCATAAATTCCAAACATTATCCAACGACCTGTCCAGATAACAGCTGTTGATTGTAAAGATAAGATTTCTAAGGCGGGTTGCGACCTTCATAATGAAAACAGCCATTTTGAAGGCAATTTTTATTCGATATTAGTTGCCAAACCTGCCAATTTATGAAAAATATATAAGCAGTTTCTTAAAAATGACTGGTGGTGCTAACTTAAATTTACCACTATTTCGCCCCTAGCCACGAAAACACCTTCATCAAATTTACTGGCTCTCTGTTGCAACCCGATAGAATAATTAACCGGCCATTTAATTTGGCAAAAATCAAAATAATGCTTGGCTGTGCCTGTCAAGTATCAAGATGTGTGAATGGCTCTAAAATGTCAAATTAATTAAAAATGTTTGTATGCTTCTTTTGATATTTATTGCAAATAATTTGTAGTGTTTCTCTATTCTGGCTTTCCATAAATAAAGTTATAGCAAGACAGATAATATAATATACAAATCAATTTTTTATTATGCTCATTTATATAATGCTTGTTTTAATTATACGATTTTGGATTACATTGAGGAGTTGAAGTGCAATATAATATAGTCCACATTATGCCATATCACAAAATAGATTCAACCAGCGAATTGTAAATAATAATTAGTCATAAATTTCCTTAATTCATAAAATTTAAAAATGAATCTTCTAACATTGGTTGTTAATGACGTAATGTGATCAAC